CCCAGACAATTCTAAGTCACTCCTGGCCTTTGGAACTTCAGCTAATTAATTCCTTAACTCTGTGAGTCCTTTCTGGCTCTCTGGTTTTATCTGGTTAATTCTTTGAGTCCCTTCTAGTGGGCTTTACTGGCTTTATTCTCTCCCTGCCCAGCTCATGTCTATTTTTCTGTCTAACAGTATTACATTCTTATAATACTTTAGCTACACTGGTGAAAACTAGAAAATTCAGATTTGGAGAAAGATAGAGTGAAAATCCATAATACTAAAAACTAATCAGAACAGACCAGGAACACATATATACTTTATGCATCACTATTTAGAGGACCCAGTCATATAAGGACATCTGCAAAAGAAGGCATCCTGTTGATCATGCTGGGGAAGAGATTAAAAACAGTATGTGCTGACTGAATTTTGGAGTCACTAAAAAGGCTTGAGGAAAATTAAAGGTAGCTGGGAGAGACGAAGGTATATGCAGGTCTACAGAAGATAGAGATCAGAACTTTCCCATATCTGGGGATCCGTAGAGAGGACTCAGATCATTAATGTAATATACAGATAAAGATATTTTGCTTTGGTTAAGAGAATTATTTTCTAATAGTGAATAAATGAAACCTGAAGCTGACATTAGACTAAAAATACCAATCATAACTTGTAATTGTGTTTTTTTCTATTTAATCAAATGAGTCTTAATATTCACGTCTGATTTCTTAATACACATATGTTGTAAACCAAATAATTCATAATATAAAATATTCCTCATAGGCTTCAAAAAACTACAAATTTTAGGTTAATGTCAAATAAATACTTTCTAAGTCAAAAATAGCAAGTAAAATTAAGATAGCAATTAGTTGTTAATAAAATAATAGTAAAGATGTGGTGTCACTGAATGAATAGAACAATTACTACACTTTTAGGAAAAAAATTTTTTTAAATACTGGGAAAAATTTGTTTAGGCCAAAACAGTTTATTCAAATAAACTCACTTTATCAATTTATAGGTAAAAACCCAATATGTAATTATTGTGTAAATACATATACATTAAAAAATATAAGTTATTTATTCACTATGTAAGAATTTGTTCTCCATGTAAGAACTTGTTCGCTATGCTTCAGAAGATTGGAGACTGATGAAAATTAGGCTTGGGGTGGATTAATGATTGTGCATGGAGCATTGACTCCTCTATACAGAATTTTATTGTTGTTAACAACCATTTGATCAATAAATATGAGAGATGCCCTCTCAAAAAAAAAAAGTACACACTTCCAATTGTAAAATAAATAAGTAACCAGGATGTAATGTATAGCATAAGGAATATAGTCAAAATATTGTAACAACTTTGTATGGTGATAGCTGGTAGCTAGAATTATCATGTATATAAATGTTGAATCACTGTGTTGTACACCTGAAACTAATGTAATACTGTGTGTCAACTACCCTTCAATAAAAAATAATTAAAAAAAATATGTTATATATGTAAATCTATCTTATAATTTTTAGATATAAATAAATTAAAATATTTTAATAATATCCCATGGAACATATGCTATTGTAAAAAACACATGATTTAAGGTTTGCTTAGAACAATTATGAACATTCATCAGCTGTGACGCAAATTGCAAGAGAAAGAAAAGACAAATTTTAGGACATGATTAAAATATGAAGCCATAAAACTGATTATTATTAATAAGAGCATGAACCAAAAACTAAACAATTAAGATAGTCAATAGTTCTCTATACTTTTTACTTTACAGTTTGGATTTTCACACTTACTAAAAAACTATTTTTCCCATGTATTAAAAATACATTTTTCTAAAATATATCCAAATATCTCCTTTTTAAATATCTTGAATAAATACCCTGTAAATTTTTGAATCAGTAATCACTTTTTTTTTTTTGTGGGTGATAGACTCCCTTTTTAATTTTACTTTGCAACTTTTTAAACTGTGGTAAAACACATGTACAATAAAATTTACACTGTAGCTATTTTGAGTGTACAGTTCAGTAAGTATATTCAACACTGCTGTGCAACCAATCTCCAGAACCCTTTCATCTTGCAAAACTGAAACTGTGCTCAGTGAACATCAACTCTCTGTTCTCCCCCATCCCCAGCCCTCGGCAACCACGAGTCTACTTTCTGTTTCTATGAATTTCACTACTCTAGGTACATCGTACACAGGGAATCATCACACAGTATGTGTTTTTGGTGACTAGCTTATTTCATTTAGAATGATGTCCTTGGGTTCACCCACACTGTGGTATTTTGTCAGAGTTTCCTTCTTTTAAGGCTGAGTAATACTCCACTGTATGTACAACATTTTGTTTATCCATTTATTCATCAATGGATGGATACTTAGGCTCCATTCACCTCTTGACTATTGTGAATAATGCTATTATGAACATGGGTGCACAAATATCTCGAGACCCTATTTTCAACCATCTTCGGCTTATATTCCTAAAAGTGGAATTGCTGGATTATATGGCAATTTTCTTTTAAAATATTGAGGAACCTCCACAGTTTTCCATAGTGGTTACACCATTTTATATTCCCACCAACAGGGCACACAGGTCCAATTTCTCTACATCCTTGCCAACCTTGTTATTTTCTGTTTTGTTTTGTTTTTGATAGTAGCCATCTTAATGGATGTGAGCTCATATGCCACTTTAGCTTTGATTTGCCTTGCTCTAATGATTGATGGTGTTGAACATATTTTCATGTGCGTCTTAGCCATTTGGTACGTCTTTGGAGAAATGTCTACTCAAATCTTTTCCTGTTTTTAAATTGGGTTAGTTGGTGGTTTTTATTGTTAAGTCGGAGGACAGAGTAGCTTCTTAATGTCAGTCACCTAAGAGGCATGCCATGGTGGGGGTGTGGGCAGGGGCAATGAAGCCAGTAACTTCTTCCTTATACATCTCTGTATAATTTGATTTGTTATAAAACACATATATTGCCTTTCTGATTGTTTTGATACCTAACGGATTATAGAAAGATAAAGCCATGTCCTCCATCGCAGAGTGGAGCCTCATGCCACCCCTACAAGATCTTGCCCGTTTTCCCTCCATCTATTTTATTTTATTAAGGTATCACTGATATACAATCTTATGAAGGTTTCACATGAGCAGTATTGTGGTTACTACATTCACCCATATTATCAAGTCCCCCCCAACACCCCAATGCAGTTACTGTCCATCAGTGTAGTAAGATGCTGTAGAGTCACTACTTTTCTTCTCTGTGCTATACTGTCTTCCCTGTGCGCCTCCTACATTATGTGTGCTAATCATAATGCCCCTCAATCCCCTTCTCCCTCTCCTCCTACTCCTTACCCCCTTTCCTTTGGTAACCACTAGTCCCTTCTTAGAGTCTGTGAGTCTCCTGCTGTTTTGTTCCTTCAGTTTTGCTTTGCTGTTACACTCCACAGATGAGTGAAATCATCTGGTACTTGTCTTTCTCCACCTGGCTTATTTCACTTAGCATAATACCCTTCAGCTCCATCTATGTTGCAAATGGTAGGATTTGTTTTCTTCTTATGGCTGAGTAATATTCCACTGTGTATATGTACCACATCTTCTTTAGCCATTCATCTACTGATGGACAATCTAATTATTTTAAATTAAACTTTATCTCTTCTAGGTGAAGACAGTTTGGTTCTTATTTCATCTGTACCTTTCCCAAATGCACGGGAATGAGATTCAGACTGGCATACCATGCATATTTCTTGTGCATACAAAATATCTGTAATATTTCCGATAGTGTGGAAAAGAGACATTTGTTAATACCCAGATAGTAAGAAAATTAGGAATTGAATGATATCATATAAATGTGGGAAACATAAAAAATGCTAAAGGTAAAAGTGCCTCATTCATTCATTTGACAAATATTAACTGAGTGCAACCTGGTCTTGTTCTAGTTGGTGAAAGGAGATATCACTACACAAAACAGAAAGAGCTGGAAGGTGGTTAAGTGTGTACAAAGTAAGGCTGGGTAAGGAGGGTGGGTAACATTCAGGAGGGTGACTAGAGAAACTTTCTCACATGGCAAGTCTCAGTTGTGCAAGGTTATGAACGTCCATGTTTCATTCACGAGGTTCAGGGGCTCCTTACTTAGAATTTAATTCTCAGAAGGATTTTGACAAATCTAAAATAATCATCTACCAAAAAGGGTCTACATCACTTACTATATAAATGTGTGCTTATGTTTTTAAAAGAAGGTGTCTCTCATGGAATGAATGTTTGTATCCCTCCCAAATTGTGCATACTGAAGCCCTAATCCTCAATGTGGTATCTAGAAGTGGGGCTTTGGGATGAAATTAGGTTTAGATGAGATCATGAGGGTGGGGGCCTCCAGCACGTGAGGACATGAGTGAGAAGGTGCCTGTGTGTCAGCCAGGAAGAGAGTCCTCCCAGAACCCACCCATGCTGGCACCCTGATCTCAGGCTTCCGGCTCCAGAACTGTGAGACATAAATGCCTAGTATTTAAGCCACCCGATCTATTGTATTTTGTTACAGCAGCCTGAGCTAAGACAATACTTCTCTTGACAATCATAGCAATCCACTCCTATCTCTGTCATTTCACTTTTTATGCTTTGTTGTTGGGTATATTAAAATCCCTCACTCATTTTTTTTTCAATCAGAAAACATTTCAGCACATGTACTTTGTTTACAGGAGTAAGACTAGAATGTATACTCCTAATCTTGACTCATGGGGAAACCACTGAACCCTAGCAGGAATGGATGAATTAAATACTCAGTTCCAGAGCTTTCCATGGAGACAGCTGACCAGAGCACTACTCCAAAGAAGTGAGACAGAATCAGTGAATGGGCAGACATGGCATGGCATCTGCTGGGCAGGGAGCTGTCAGTGGCATCAAGTACAGAAGACACTTCTCGGCAAATTTCCTCAAACATTTCTTCCTTTCTGCAGATGGGAAAGCTGCTTACAGTGGGTTCACCAGCAGCTTCTGCGACCCCGTACTTCCGCCGCTTGGTGGGGATCCAGCGGGCCATGGCGGCGGCCTGCCCGCGGTGGCTACAGCTCCTGGGGCGCTGGCCGCCGCCGCGCCTCGTTCCCGCGCGCCCCCGCCGTGTTGCGCCGACTCAGCCGCCTCGCGAGCGTCTCCCCGCCGCGCCGCCCGGACTCACTGCGGCTCCCGCGGCGGCCCCGGCCCGCGGTCTAGTAATCACGTTTAAAAGACTTTCTTTTCGGTTACTATCCTGACTAAAAATTTCTGACTCATTGATTTATATTGGATTAATTTAGTTGTATGACCACTGGTAATCTACAATCGCCTGCCAAAGGTTGCATTGTGCAGTGACCCATCCCCACCCCCGTCTTCCAGGCGACCCTGCGCTTTCTTCCCCAACACCTCCTGCTGAGATTTGGTTCTGACTCAACAAGAATGTCGGGCTTGCCAGGACTTGCTCAGCCTGGCACACACGGCGCCAGCGCCTTCCCTCCTGTGCAGCCCCTCAGCTCCTCCTGAGGCCCTAACCCAGGCGCCCTAAAGGAGAGGCACCAGCCACAGAAGAGCATGTTACAGTTTTCTTCTTTTTCTGAGGTGGGTCAACGGGGACATACGTGGGCTAGAGCGTGGGCGCCTGGCGCTGTGCTTCAGTGCATCTGCGTCTTGTGTTGCTGCTGCTTTATTCCTGAAGGAATGCAGGGAAGACGTCAGGAAGAGATGGGGGTGTGTGTCTAGACTGTCTCAGAGGCAAGCAGAGTTGGGTAGCTCTGGACATTGTGCTAAGATCCTCCTGCCATCCTGGGGAGTGGAGTACTCCGGAGGCATGTCAATGCTCCAGATGCACCACAGCATATCAGCAGAGGCTTTGGGTGCCCCTTGGGGTGGCACAGAATGTTTTTCTCCCTATGCACTCTCTCAGAATGACCCAAGTGAGTCTAGCATTCCATGTCAGAAGGTTGTCTGCCCAGCCAAGTACGCCTGGGATATGAGAAATCTTTGCCTTAAATCTAAAGAGGTAGTCTCTGCTTCATGAGCAGGACAGACATACATCTTCTTTTGAGAAGCTCTTTTGTCTAGAAGCCTCTAGTGGCCTCACCATTTTCTTTGCATCCCATCCAAGAAAAATATGGGGTGAAATCTTCAGTTAAGGAGTTACCTTTTCAAGATACCTAAAATACCTCCATACTAAAATAATAGCTATGCCCAGAGTCATCTCTGATGGACTTCTGTCTTCTGAGCGGTCACAGGTCTGCAGCTGAGGCCGATACTTTCATTCACGACAAACCAAGGTTGAACATTTCCTGAGCAGGTGTTCTTGGGGAAGCGTGGAGCAGGCTTTCTGAGGGTGGCACACAGCGGTTCTTGTGGGCAGACCAGAGGCAGATATGCACTTCAGTGCTGGTCTGATCACCTGATACCTCTGCTTTCGTGGCTGCACTAGAGGGAACCACCCTAGACAACACTGGACAGCATCGCTCTAAGGACACGTCAGGAGGAAGCCGAGTCTTTCCGAGGACTCTGCTCACTTCTGTTCTTCATCCTCACATGTCGGGTGTTACCTTCTGGTGAGTAGTTTGGCTGGCTAATTTGTGGGCTCTGACATTGTGATCTGAAGAAGTCTTTGAAATACTTTTTTAGCTATTTACTTAAGTGTATCAGTTTACTCTATCAGTATGTCTGTATCTCTTTGGAGTCAATGGCATGTGATCCAAAGAACAAAATTTCTGGGCCAATGAGCACAGGCCTTAGTTTTTCCCATCTATTAATGCATGGGAACCAGCATTAACTAATGGGGACCCCCTAACTTACGGGGACCAGGGGGCTTGGGGGATTCAGTGAAATCACATGTGAAATGATTAGCAATATGTCTACACCACAGTGCAGCTCAAGAACTCAGAACCGCTTTGCCGGGTATCTGAATGAGGGATCCTTTGTGTCCTCTTCCCGAGAAGAGTTGTGTAGGGAGCTGCAAAGAGAGCTCGCCTCAAAGGCTGAGGAGCTGCACTTTTCGCTGTCTACCGTGAATTCCTGGGCACCCCAGAAGTGTCTTTCTCTGCTCTGTCAAATAATGGGGATTGGGCCAAAGGACCTCTTTAAAGTTCTCACATTTCTTAATTTCTTTCATGTATCAGCTGCCAGTTCTGAATCCTCAAGTCCACACTCATTACTGTTAATCCAAAAATTATTTGGTATCTGGACTGCCAATATTGATGAGAGCACTTGTATATAGACCTCAGCTGATTACATCTCAGGAGTAGGAGAGTTATTCCACATTAAAAAAAAAAAGAATGAAAACATGTATAAATGAAACAATGTTTTTAATTATTGTAAGATTTCTTGGTGATAAATTAGAATTCTTTTATTCTGCCAACAGATCAAACTGTTGGTTACTATCCTGACTAAAAATTTCTGACTGTGATTTACCAGTTATTGATTTCTGTAACTATTTTTATTTCTGTCTTGGTTTCAGGTCCTCGACACTGGTGGCCACCACATGGAATTGTTATGGTAATCTTCCACTAGATTTCCCAAGACCAAGATTCTAATCTGAATTTTCTTTGGAATTGCTATTTTAGAACCTCTCTGCAGCAAGGCCATCTGCGACGTTCTTCAAGGGCCACTCACATCAATGTGGCACATTGCAGCAGCCCAGGGTAGAGTGATTCAAATGGGGACCCAGCTGAGATTTGGTCTTGTGTGCCCCAGACACCCCCCTTTCCCCCACTCCTCCCCAGGGTGCCTGGGAGTGTTCATGAGCACCAATTGCCAGGGGCAGTACAGGTTCTTCAGAGCCCACAGACTTGGGAATAACATGGTTTCAGCTCTCAAGGAACTCAGTTTGGGGGAGGGAATGCTTCCTAAAAGCCCTGAGATGTGCAGAGAATGCTTACATGGGCAGTGAATAGGGAAAGCAACTTCTGAGATATGGACTAAGGACAATGTGGAGGAATCGGAAACCTCTAGACAGAGCTTCAAATTATGTTTGCAACTTGTATGAGGGCAAAATGAAGGAGACGCTTTTTCATTTTAACCTGCCTCTCTAGGTATTGAGTGTTTTTTGAGGTTAATAATATTTGTTACATGAGGGAAAATCTAAAAGAGGAATTATTATGTTATTTTGTTGTTTTTTTAATGTAGATTTGCATGACTATACACATATAAAGGAGTATTTGCCCTTGAAATTTTTGTCTTAAAACTTAAATGTTTATTTCTTTAAAAATGGTCAATCATGACTTGACTGGTGAGAGAGGTATTTTGAAGGCGGCTTGGCTGAATCTTTCTGAGGACTCTGCTCACTTTTGCTCTTTATCCTCATACACGGGGTGTTACCTTCTGATGAGTAACAGGCACTGGCTGGTTCCGACAAGCACTTAGGGTTAATTTGTGGGCAGTGACGTTGTGATCAGAAAGAAAAGTCTTTGGAATACTTTTTTCTGAAAGATCAGAGTGGGTCTTACCCACTTTGAAACATCAGAGTTTTGAACCAATCTGTCAGGCTATAGCTCCAACCAAAAACCTTGCAGAATTTGTCCTCAGAATGTATACTCTAGTCTCACAGGAGTCAGTCCTGGAATTCTGCCTTTCCAGAAAGTTGCCTGTACGAGGAGTCCTTCCTTTCCCCATAAATCAATCAATAAAAAATAAGCTTACTCATTCTTACATATTTTCTTTAAGGAATACTTTATCTCCTGTGCATGCTCTAGGAGACAATATTGAGGGAAACAGACATATCCCCTTCTGTCAGGAAGCTTACACATAGCTGTGAAAAAGGAAGGCAAACAATATTATTTGTAGCAAATTCTATAAATAAAAGTAGGATGGTACAATAGACAATATCTATTAGGAGTAGAGATATTGAGATAAACAATGAGATTGGGGACACACAGCTGAGATCTGAAGGGTAAAAAGGAATCAGCCAGGTGGACCGTAGTGAGAAGACTTCGTCTACTTGAGACCCTGACTGAAGACACAGAGAGGGAGGAAGGAGTGTGCCGAAAAGCCAGTGACAGCTATAGCTGGGGACCCTCAGGTGGGGGACAGATTCTTCTCAAAAGGGAAAGAAAGGAAGCTATATTTATAGACAGTGATAATAACTGTACCTGCTCTTTTATTTGCTTACTCCACATTCATTCAGATTAGACTAAATACCTTATTTATTCTGCAAACATTTATAGAGCAATGACTAAGTACCTGTATATGTACTGGGCACACGGTGGTTAGTTGAGTCAGACACAGACCTTACCCTTATGGGCTTATAATCCTTTAGGGTGTGGAATTATTCAAATAATTACACGAAGGCTTTACACACTGATTAGAGGTGTAAAAAGAAAGAACAGAGAGTTTGGATTGTATTTTGAAAAATATCTGAGGGAGTGGGCTCTGATGGTGGAATGACTTTAAATTAGGAAGAAAATATATGTTTGATGGGGTGGTCACAAAAAACCAGAAGATCTGAGGTGCAGGGGATGTGGAGCACTCTGTGAAATAAAACTGTTCTAAGAAAGTGGCATAAGGTGGTATAAAGTAAGGTCGGAAGATGTGGGGGCATCTAAATCATCCAGGGCCTGTTAGCCTATGCTAAGGACTTTTTTGCTTTACTTTATTTTGTTTTATGCAATGAGGTGTAATGGAAAGATCTTTATCAAGGGAATAAAATGATTTTATTGATGTTAAGTTATAGAAACTAGAGGACACGGGGAATTGAGGAAGTAGAGGGATAGCTGGGGGACAGAGACACAGGAGGCAGAAGGTGGTGGCCTGGCCATGGTGGTGGGACTGGATAAAGAAGGAAGGTGCTTCTAAGCTACAGTATGATCCCTCTTTCCCTTAATACTCAGCCAAAACTGTCTCCCGCCTCACATCAGGGGTACATTATCTATCTGGTCGCACTCACATACCCCATGGGCCCACCATCCTCCAGCCCCAGCACAGCAGGGTCACTGCCTCAAGCCATCACTCACATAAGCATTGAAAGTAGATGTGGCTTCTAAACCCTGATGGAACATGTGTCTTCCTCTGCTTCCAGTTTTCCCTGCAAAACCAGGGGCTGAGTCTAAATGATAATCACATTTCACAACTTCAAGATAAGAGTTGGCTTGGGGATTTTGAGAGTGGGTAAAATGTGGTAAATATATGAAATCAAGGCTTGTGGACTTCAGTGAAGCATCTCCACCTACGGGGCTTCTGTTTCTTTAGTAGAGGTGGCATAGAAAGTCTCTAAGCACACTCCCAGATTTAACAGTCTGGGAATAAAGGAGATGAAGGGAGAAACTAAATTTTCCAAATACACTGTGCTCATCCGCTGTTCCTTCTCCCACTGTAGCAGAGCAGGCGTCTGCTCCCTATTTGGTCAGGAGGTCAACAACTGGGCCATCTGGCGGTCACCGGGTGGGGTGTACATGACTGCTGTTTCCCTCGCTTTGTCAGGCAGGAGCTGTGAGAGCTTTGGAGAGACTGGGATGTGATTCTGCCTCTTTTTCCTAATAAGGTCCAGAGGTGACCTACCCTTCTGTGACCATGATTCTAATCATATCATTCTTTGTGAGTCAATTTCAGGTGAAATGTCCATGTAAGAAAGTAGACTTGAGTTGGCTCAGTGCAACAATGAACCCCTGCCCTGGTTTGAATCAACCCACTTCCACGACCTCTGCAAACCCCTGGGCCTTGTGTGTCGAGAGCTTGTGAGTACTATTTGGGGAAAGGAAAAGAACGGTGATGGCTGAGTCCACAGCGATTACTATCTAACTCTCCTCCCCAATGCATCAGCCTTGAAGCCAGGAATTTGTGCCTGTTTACACAGACAATAGCCAGTCCCCACGTAGAAGAGCAGGAGGTAACAGAAAACCCTGGGGTGGAAAACATACTCATAGTGCTTGGAGGCATCACCAGGCCCTTTCTTCTCCCAGGGACCTCGAGTTCCCATAACCAGTAGATGGATTTTCACCTGAAGCCTCCAATAGCCCTTCAAGTTGAAATTCTTTGATTCTTCAGATAGATTGTGGTTTTGCCTTCTCTCAGGTATCTTCAACCTCTTACGTGCCTGAAATTCTGAGCTAGGATGAGTTGGCTGCAATGTTTGTGTCCTTTTATGTGACATAGTTATTATTATATTATAATTAAACATTGAGATCTCACAAAACCTGGCTTCAGGTTTGATCTCTGTATAGTCTGGTGCAGGCCACAGAAAGTAAGACTTTCTCCACGGCATCGGACTGGAGCCCTTAGCCCGACCATCATTTTGTAATTTTGCGCACGGGGCAATGACAGGAATGTGCAAACCCCAGGTCATTCCCACTAACGAGTGTGAGAGTATTGTCAGAATAAGATGCGCATTGATATGCCTTATGTATTGTGAGCTCAGGCCTGATTAAATAATTTGTTTTCAAAGACATTGTAGCATGGTTCATAATGTCTTCAGTGGCTTCATGGAGTCATGGAGGGGTAACTAGGTAGGAAATCTAACGACCTGGTTTTGTGTTTAGTCAATTCCCTTTATGCTCTGGCTCTTAGTTTCCTCAAGTATAAAATAAGGGTGATGGATAAGATAATTCAAAAAGTATTTTTGTAGTTTTGAAGTTCTATTAATGAAATGTTTATTCTGATTGTTCCTTTAGGAAATCTCAGGGAAAAATTAGGTTTCAACATGATGGAAAATGCTAGCTGAATAGAGTTGCATGTAAAGAAGATACTTCCTTCCTCTCTCCATCACGACGACCTCCCTGCAGCTCTCCCTTCCTTGCCTGTGATCTTAGTGACAGCGCCGCCCCTCATGGAGTTTCTATCAGGTTGCTGAAGGTCCCTTCTTGAGACCTCTGCCTTCCATATGCTCCCTCATAAATAAAATGTTCTAAAGGTCTCATTCAATTTGGGTCTTAGATCTGTGTCTCAAGTCTCAGAAATAGAATGAAATGAACATTTGACCTTTGGCTCAAATGTCAAAGGCAAACATTGGGATTAATCAGTTCTCTGATACTGTGAACAGTGCAATGATTTATGGAGAGGCTGCAGGTTATTTTCCAAGGAACACAACACAAATTTCTTCCATATTCCTTTGGCATTAAAAAAAACAATAATTAATAGGAATTATGGAGAATTTTGCTCCTCCTGTACATTCCTGCTGCCCACTTCCTGCAGATTCCTTGTCAAACAGCCCTGTTTCCGGGCTTGGCCTTGAGGCAGAAGCGTTCGCACACACCTGGCGTGGATCAGCAGGACTCAGCTTTTTCCCGGGCCCCACTTTTCCCCACAGACAGAGGCCCACGAATGTGCCATTGGTCACTGGCCTTTTTCTTAAATTCTCTTGACACATCTCAACCTCTGGAACATATAGGGACATGTTCATCTTTAGGTTTTACTATATATATATGAAGTATAACACGTGCACATACACATACATATATACACACATATTCCTAATATGGAGAAAGACTAATATACATTAAACGCCCTCTTCCTCTCAGCAGCTTGCTCCCTATTGGCCTGGGAGAGAGTGTCTCTTCTACCTCTGGATGTCCTGTAAGACTATGGCCACAGTGTGTATATCTTCTGTTAGCTCCTTGACCTTGACTGCTATGCTGATTACACGATGGACACATAGTTCCACCCAAAAGGAAATAATCACCTGTCATCTGTATGATTTTATATTTATTTTCATATTTTGGAATATGAAAAGGAAATAGCTCAGGAGAAAATGAAATATTCTCTATCTTTATGGCCTATCTACTTCCATCGCTCCAAGTTCTGGGCCATGCAGGAACACTAAGAAGCACAGGGAAGATTGTTTTTCAACACTATTGCCTGGACTTCATGTTCACAGACCTTTTGTTCTTCAGAAATTAATCTGCCATTAATGTCATTCAGTAATTTTTTTTCATCTCAAATATTTCTATTTTCATTTCTACAAGTTTGATTTATCTCTTCAATGTTTCTAACTTTTTAAAAATCTGGAATACAGTTATATGGTAACCATTTTTATGAGTTTATCTGCTAATTCTAATATCTGTGTCAGTTTTGAGCTGGTTGATTTTCTTCTCATTAGGGATTATATCTTAGGACACCAGATGTTATGAATGTTACCTTGTTTGGTTCTGAGTATCTTTTGTATTTCTAGAAATGTTCTTGAGCTTTGTTCTGAAACACAGCTCAATTACTTGGAAACAGTCTGATCCTCTGGAATATTGCTTTTAAGAGTTGTTAGGTAGGACTAGTGCAGTATTTAGTAATTGGGCTAATTATTCCTCATTACTGAGACAAGTACTCAGTGCTCTATGAATTGTAAGGTTTTCTAATCTGGCTAATAGGAACAGGCACTATCACCAGCTCCAAAAGAGATCTGGGCTCTGTTATTTCTAATCTTCTCTGGTGGCTCTTCCTTGGCTTTGGGTGATCCCCTCGCACACCAGCACTAATAGTAACCTGCTGAGCTTTCTGCCCAGCTCTTCCTGGCTGCGGTCCTGCAAACTATCAGCACTTTACTTTTGGTGGTAAACAGCTTTGTCTCTCAGCTTTGCCTCCTCAGTTCAGGAAATCCATGTGTTCCATCCAGGCTTCCCTTTAGACTCACGGTGCAGAATCCAAAGCCAATCTTATTGCTCATCATGTTTATTTCCAATCACTCAGGAATCAGCATCCATTGTTGATGTCTAGCATCATTGTTTTGTGTACTTTGTCTGATTTTTAATTGTCTTTTCAGGAAGGAGATATATCTGGTTTCTCTTACTCTATATTATTTGAAATTAGAAGTCAGTTTTATCTTTATCATGTCATTGTACTTATGTTTTCCTCTGATGGTTTCTAAAGTCTAGACTGGAGCCCACGTCATTGCTGTATTTTTTCTAAGGATTCCAAAGGATAAGACTTGTGCACTGTGATAATACAAAACTTTTCAGTGGATAAGAAAACATTTACTTAAAATTGGTGTACACAACAGCAAAAAAGACTTTCATAATTTTTTTTCCTGTCGTTTGACTGTAGTCATTCCCAAAGAGGGAATCCGGAGGTCGGGATGTTTATCTAAATGCAAGAGTTCACTTTTTCCAGTGCAAACCCTAAAAGCTGGTCATTTCTACACATATTCTACCACTGCCAATATAAAATTTCCGTTAGCATTCCTAGTCTGACAGCCACTGCCTGTGTGTGCTTGCTCATGCTCGTCCTCTCCGGCAGGTGTTTTGAATTTTGAAATCCCTCTGTCTTGTTCCCCATATCTTTTATCCTCTAGTTATTGACCAGTTCCAGGTTTTTCTCATTGCTATCTTCTCTTCCCCACATGCTCCCTTTGCTTTACGATCCTACTCACATCTATAGTCACTCTCTTGCCATATGCTTATAACTCACATACTCACCTTGTGAGACTGTACTCACCTTTCTATGATCAGATACTAGACCTCTACCTTTCATTAACTCAAAGCATTTTTAAACTCAGTCTATCAATATAAATCCTATTTTTTTCTTTCTAAATGTGATCCTCCACATGTTTTGATTTAATTAACTCAATGAGTCTTCTCAAACTCAATTTCAATATATAATTTATTTATATTCCTAATTTCATCTTAAGTATACATTGAGCTCATGAACATTTATTTAATCCAAGTCTTCTTGTTTTTGGTGGGTTATTTTTATATTCTACTTGACTATTACCTCAGCCTCCAATCTATTCTTCCAACCATAATCTTGTCTTTGTTCTATAATCATTTAAATTTGACCTCTTAGAAAATCACTCTCTTTTGTGAATTATAATACAAATAAACATCTAGTATGACTTTTAAGACAGACATTTCGTTGCATTTGATATAGTAACTTTCTGAAGCCCAACTTCAACCATAATGAACCCTGTAGGACTTGTAACAACCCTTTCTGCCCATAAGGTGGCAGTAAAGTACTGCTGCTTAAACCGTTGATTGGCTGGCTCTACGGCCCTTGGGTCACGTGCCAACAAGGTGATTTGGGGGAAGTGGCTAATGCTCTATGAGCTGCAGATTTCTCATCACTAAACATGATAATAATAGTACACACCTGATTTTGAGAAGGGATGCTCCCAAAAAGTTTAAATAGGGATATCCAGGTGAGTGACAAATGGGGGCAAAACTTTAGGTAGAATCAAAGGGCTTTCCCTCACCACCTACTTAGGCCACCTGTTTCTGAACCCAAGTAAGGGGATGAGCTTAAAATGGAGATGGCTTTCTGCAATTTCTGGTATTTTATTCTTCCCAGGAAGGTGAAATCTCCTAACATAGTCCATCCCAAACTCCTATTCAGATCTCATATTGGATGAGTTAGGAAGTGCTTTCATCTAACTAATGGACTAATCATTACTTATTATTCTATGGAGTTCCTGTTTATTTCCTTGATTAGATCCTTATAAGGCTCTTTTAAGATATAAAGAAATTTAATCAACTCAAAGAGACAGACTTGAGCAAACTGCTTATCATGTATTATCCAAACAAAAATTAGGAAATCCTTGTAGTCTATGGGTATGTGAAGGCAGTCAGTGAGTCAAGTAATATGCAAACATAAAACCAGCCTACACTATGATTAATTTTCTTGAAGTTTTAAATTATATTTTAAGGTTGCTTTCAAATAATAATATATACTCTTGAAGAATTCAGAAATGCAGAAAAGTAAATTTTAATAAAAAAAACTAAGCAAGACATTACAATCAGACATGCATTTAATTGCCTTTAATTTTAGATGAAAATCTTTCCTAAACTCTATCTTCCTCTCTCTCTCTCTCTTCCTCTCAATAACTAATGATACAGATTAAGAGTGTGGTAGAAATGATCTTGTAAAAACAGGATCATACTTACATGTTACTTTGGAAATAAGAATTTACTCAATACAAAGTCATTATGCAAAAGAAGAAACTATATTCTAAATGTATGCAGTAATAAATTTAAAATGGAATTATTTAAAAGGCATTACTGCTCAGAATACTAAAAACAGCAAATGCATGAGGAAAAACAACTGTAACAGAAGGTATATGTAATCTCTACCCTGAATATTACAAAGTACTAATCAAATATTTCAAAGAAACTCTAAATAAATGCAAGTACATAGTCATTCATCAACTTAGAAATTCAATATTAAAAAGAGGTACAGTCACTCTAAATTGTTTTATAGATTCAATAATCTTACTCAGATAAGTAGCAGGGTTTTTTTCTGAGAGAGTACTAGTTCGATTTTCAAATTTGTATGAACACATAATAGGAATAAAGAATAGACAAGATAATTTTGAGTAAGAACAAAGCTGGAGGACTTACACTACCGAATAAGCCTTACTTTCAAGCAATCACAATAAAAAAAGTACTGGTATAAAGATAAACAAATAGACCATTGGAAAAGAATTTAGAATCCAGAAACAGACTCACACATATATGGTTATTCGATTTGTGGCAAAGAAAACCACTGTAGTAAAATTGTGAAAAGTTGTTCTTTTTAATCAATTATGCTGAGTCTATTGGATATACATATAGGAGAAAATGAATCTTGACAATTTCATTTGAACTAATATTCAAAAAACCAACTAAAAAAAATTGGGAACTTTATGAACTAAGAGTATGCAAATATTCCTTTAACTGACAAAAAAACTCCATAACCATAAATAAAAATATGATAAATTGTGTAACAAGAAATGTGTGTTCTAAAATATTAAGAACTGCCCTTCATCAAAAATCTACCACTAGGAGAGTAAAAGGTAAACTACCAACTAGGAGAAAATGTTTCTAACACATATATCCAACAAGTGGCTCATCTCAGAAATACATAAAGAATTCCTATAAACAAGACAAAGAGCCCAATAGAAAAATGTGCAAAATATAAAATGATGGCATCAAATTAGCTAATAAATGCATT